GGCGGCGGGGGGAGGCGGAGTGTTTGGGATTCTCAGTTGGTCTGCTGTACTCTCAGCCCCTATGCCAGAGGAAGGCCAGAACAGGCCCTCTTTGGGGGTCTGCTGAGATCACAGTCGCTACACCAATGGAGATAGGAACCTACCCTCTCAGGCTGTCTGCTAAGATCTCAGCCTTCTCCTGTGAAAGCCAGGTCTGCCCCATGCTTTGGGAGGGGCCTCACATAATCCCAGTTAGGGTGTTGGGTACAGCTCAATTAGGGGAAGCTCACCACCATGCGGAGGCAGGATCTGGGCACCCTCAGGCAGTCCCCTGCATTCTCCTTTATTTATTTTTCAATAGGGAATATGTTGATATGGCTCAGAAGTTTTGAAGTACTGAAGAACACATAAGTGAACAGTCTTTTCTCCTGCCCTTGTGCTTAGCCTCTTAGCTCTTAATGGGCAACTAATGTTAGTAAGTTCTTGCTGCCCTTCCTGAGACATAGTTCATATCTATAGTCCCTGTAGATGTACACGTTTTTTTTTTTTTGAGACAGGATTTCCCTGTAGCCTTAGCTGACCTGGAACTGGCTATATAGACCAGGCTGGTCTCCTTCTCACAGAAATCTGCCTGCCTCTGCCTCCCAAATGCTGGGATTAAAGGCATACACCACCATGCCAGTTTCTTTAAAAAAAAAATTGTTTTTTAAAATTTTTTTTCTGTTTTTCAGTTAACAGTAAGAGGATAGCAACCTGGGGCTAGGTGAAAACTGCCAAGTTTGTCAAGAAGAAATGAATCAATCAATAAATAAAGAAGATGTGGGCTGGGGATGTAGCTCAGTTGGTAGAGTGCTTAGCATGTAAATAGCCCTGAGTTTGATCCCCAGCACCACATAACATGCCTGTAATTTCAGCACTTGGGAGGTGGGGAAGATCCAGGAAGATCAGGGGTTAAAGGTCATCCTTGGATACCATCAACAAAAAGAACATTTCTGAGGAGTGACACCTGAGATCGTCTTCTGATTTTTACATGTATGTGCACACATGCATGCTGTTGTGAGTAGTGTGATGAAATTGCACTGTGCCACCTAGTAGGCATCATCTTTGTTTAGTGCTTCCATACTAAATAAGCTACAATTGAGAAAATCACAACACTTATACTATAGTGTACTGTTAAAATTGTTCTGTTTTATTATTAGTTGTCAATCTCTTCCTGTGTGTAATATATAAGTTAAACTTTATCATAAGTAGAAGAAAACAGTGTATCTGAGGTTCAGTATTATCTCCTGGAGGGGGTGCTTTGAACCCAGGCCTTAATGGCTAGGGAGGCTAGTGTAGTCTCAATGGTTGGCAGCTAAGAACTAGTGGCTGTAAATGAGAGATTTCTTTAATAATAGCAAAATGGACATAAAATTTACCATTTCTATCATTTTAAAGTGTGTAATTCCTGTGGCATTTAATACTGCAGATTTATTTTTATTTATGACATTTCTTATGAGTGGCATCAGCATATCTCTTTTTTAAAATTATTTTTATGTGTATGAGTATATTGCCTGTATGTATGTAAGTGCACCTGTGTCATACAATGCCCATAGATGTTAGAAGAAGGTGTCAGATCCCATGGAACTGGAGTTACAGATGATTGTTGGCTGCCATGTGGGTGCTGGGAATCAAACCCAGGTCCTCTGTAAAAGCATCCAGCACTCTTAACCGCTGAGCCATCTCTCCAGCTCCAGCACGTGTCTTTTGGAAGGACGTCCATGGTATGAATTTGTGAAAGAAGAAAGTAGCATTTCTAAACTTTTGTGTTTCATTAGCACATCACATGCATTTTTCTTTTGTATTTCCCCCAGTGCTGTAGGCCCTGCCTGTCTGCCTCTGCTCCCTTTTTCCTTCTCTCCATTCCTCCCTTTCTTTTTGAGAGTTGATGTTCTCTGCAAATTGTCAGTTTCTTCTGTATTCAGACTCTTTCAAGCTTGCCAACTTGGCTTAGGTATATATTTTGGATTACAACCATCTAGCAGAGTAACCTATAGTTTGAACTGTACACATGGCACATGGCAGAGTGGAAGGGAAATGACGTGTCACAAAGCTCATCTCCCTGTCTGGGCAGGCTAATAGGAATGCTCAGCTTTTCCTGAGGTTGAAAAATGCTTCAACATGCACATACATCTTTAATACGTGTTGAGCATTATTATACTTCTAGTATGCTGTGGAGGAGCTTGCTCAGAATTCTAAAAGTTCTTTAGAGAATCCATGTCCTTTCACAGAGAGCATTGACTTATAAAGCGTGATTTCCAACCAAAACCAGTAGAAAAATCAGAGAAGTGGTATTTGTGTATATGGTTCCTGACTGATAGCTTATGATTTTCAGTAATGCAGTGGTGCAAAAATGATGCACATTCAATAGAAACTATTCTTGAAACTGTGGACTTTTATCATTTTCCAGGCTCAACAAAATTCAGTACAGTACTCTAGTGACATTGGGCAGCTGCAGCTGTCAGCCAGCCATGCAACCATGGGGTGTGGCAGTCGACACTACAGTGCATTGCTTAGCTGAGCTGTGATGTTTGGTAAGCTAGGAGTATCAAGTGTATTTAGACTTGTGATATTTTAAAGTTTAATGGGCTTATGGGATTATGAGTTGAGGAACATCAGGTTTTCTCCTAACCCTGTCCTTCAGCTGTCAACTTGCCACAGCCGAGAGTCATCTGAGAATCTCATTTGGGTTTGACCAGATCACTTTGGCCTGTGGGTATGTAGGTGGGGCATTGTGCTGATTAATGACTGATTTGGGAGGGCCCAGCCCACTGTGGGCAGAATCATCCTTAAGTCCTTGGGCCTTGGCTATATAAGAAAGATAGCTTAAAAAAATGGGTCTGGAGAGATGGCTCAGTGCTTCAGAGCACTGACTGCTCTTGCATAGGACTTGGTTTCAGTTCCCAGCACCCTCATAGTGGCTCACAACCATCTGTAACTCCAGTTCCAGGGGATCTGACACCTTATTCTGACCTCCAGAAGCATTGCACGACACAGGTACACTTACACGCATTCATACACATAAAATTAATAAAATACTTTTAAAAAGATAGCTAGCTCAGCAGGACTAGCCAATAAGTAGCTTCTTCCCTGGTTTCTGCTTCAGTTCCTGCCTTGACTTGCTCAGTGACGGACTGTGACCTGGAAGTGTAAGCCAAACAATCCCTTTCCTCCTCAAGTTCCTTTTGGTCACAGTGTTTTATCACAGCAATAGGAAGTAAACTAGAACAAATCCTCACGCCATTTTCCTGTGATGAACTGTCTTTCTTCTAGTTTTGGCAGATTTTCTTTGTATCCATGATGAGAGAGGATGGCCATATTGATGTTCCTAAGCGTCAAGGGTGGAAACACTACAGTGGTGGGGCTTTTCTTTCAACATAAGGATTCTGAAGCAAATGTTAGCATATGTATGGTGGACTTTCTGAGTGTTTATTCCAAAGCATGTAATGTTTGAATGATTTAAAAAGAATTCTAGGTATAGTTGTGGTGGTTTCTTGTTAACTGTTTAGTTGGTAGCCAAACATTTCCTGACACAGGTCTGGTTGGGAAATGTGTGTCCTTTTTATGTGAAGCATCGCATTAAATGGGCTCAGGCCTATAAATCATTTCCTATAGTGCCTGTACCATAAAATATGCTCAGACAGTGCATGTTCTCCCTCCACCTCTAGGATAGGTCACCTGCTGAGGGGTGTCCTGCAGCCAGTGCAGGTGCTTTGAGTCCTTAGGGAGAATATGAGGGCCAGACATGAGTGTCTTAGGAAAGAACATACACAGATCTCACAGAAACTGCCTGGTCATTTCCTGAAGGAAAAGTGCATTTCAGTCATTTATTTAGTAGCTGATAAAAGTGAAAATATAGAAATGTGACTCAAGTTGAGAGAGGACCAAGTTATTCAAGGCCTTGTAGGCCTTCTTATGGATTTGAGAAAAGTGATTTTAAAGCCATTACTTATTCTTTTCTGGCCACCATTTTTTTCCTTTTATTAATTTTTTAGGTTAGCGTACAAAGTTATGGGTTTCTTACACAGACATTGCTGTTCTCTTTGCTACCCCCTCTCCATTCCTGCTGGCTCCTTTCCTCATGTTAGATTTTCTTTCTGATTTTCATCACATGTACCCCGTTGCTCTCTGTTGCCCGCCCACCTTCCGTTTGGCTGCCATTTTGTTTTCAATCATGATTAAGTATGAAGGGAAACTCGGATTGATAAGAGTTGCTGGGTAAATGGTATATTCCCTTATTAAACCCCTATTGATTATCTATTGCGCTATAGATACAGGTGTACATTGCTTATTCTCGTCTCTGAAATGAGTTTGATATGTTGTCGAGTTACTGTGAACAGTAAACTGGTTTATCTGTAGACTGAACAGATGTTATTTCCACATCCTGAAAGGAGGATGCCTTGTTTTGATGACAGTGCTCTTCATACAAGTCTGAGAATAAACAAGAAAAAATTAGCCAATTTAATTTGAAGTCAGCTACTGATGTTATTAAAAAAACAGAAACCCAGACTACCTGAAAAGATGATGGAATTATTCTGAAAATTTGAAGTTAAACCAAAACCTAAAATCATTCATCCTAGAATTCATCCCTCTTTCCGGCCTCTGCCCTGACATGTAGTAATATTTGTCTGGCAACATGTTTGGGGAATTTTTGCTGTTGCTATTGTGTTTTGATTTTAATTAATTTGTTTTTTTTATTTTATGTGTATGAATATTTTGCCTGCATGTATGTAATTGTACCACATGTGTACGATGCCCACAGAGGCCAGAAGAGAGCATTGGATCCCCTGGAACTGTAGTTATAGATGGTTGTTAGCTGCTCTGTGGATGCTGGGAACTGAACTCATGTCTTCTCCAAGAGCAGCCAGTGTTCTTAACCTCTGAGCCATCTCTCCAGCCGCCTGCTATTTTATTACTTTTGAAGGTTTCTGTCAGTGTGAAGTAATGTTTCCACTGATTTCTGCTCATCTCCTCCCCTTCAGATTTCACCACCCAATCCTCAGTCCTCTGGAAAGCAGCTTCCAGCTGGAAGTGGACGTCCTGAGTCATCTCCTGAAGGCCCAGGCCCAGATCTCAGAGTGGAAGTTCCTCCCTTCCTTGGTTAACTTGCACAGTGCTCACACCAAGTTGCAGACCTGGGGCCAGATCTTTGAAAAGCAACGGGAGACCAAGAAACATCTGTTTGGAGGGCAGTCTCAGAAGGCTGTTCAGCCCCCACACCTTTTCCTTTGGCTGATGAAACTCAAAAACATGCTCTTGGCCAAGTTTAGCTTTTACTTTCACGAGGCACTGAGCCGACAAACGACTGCTTCAGAAATGAAAGCGTTGACTGCCAAAGCTAACCCAGACCTTTTTGGAAAGATTTCCAGTTTCATCAGGAAATATGATGCTGCCAATGTGTCCTTAATTTTTGACAACCGAGGCTCAGAGACCTTTCAGGGTCATGGCTACCATCACCCCCATTCCTATCGAGAGGCGCCTAAGGGTGTGGACCAGTATCCAGCAGTGGTGTCTCTGCCCAGTGACAGGCCTGTCATGCACTGGCCCAACGTCATCATGATCATGACAGACCGCACATCCGACCTGAACAGCTTGGAGAAAGTGGTTCACTTCTATGATGACAAAGTCCAGAGTACCTACTTCCTGACCCGCCCAGAGCCCCACTTCACCATTGTTGTCATTTTTGAGTCAAAGAAATCCGAGAGAGACTCCCACTTTATTTCCTTCCTCAATGAGCTCTCGCTTGCCCTTAAGAATCCCAAAGTGTTTGCAAGTCTGAAACCTGGATCCAAAGGTTAGCAGGAGATTTGCTGAAGGATTTCTAGACTGGGACTGATGTTCTTAATTGCTCTGAGGGTCGATAGTGGTTTGTGACTAGAATTTACATTCATTCATATTTCTTTCAGAGTGGAACTAAAGACAGATCCTCCCTAATCATGTTGCACACTTTATAAACATTTAAGGCCAAGTGAATTGCGTTTCCAAAGAGTAGTATAGGAAGTGAGCATAGGCTGTGTGTATCAGCGGAACAGCAAAGTAATTTCAGTGTTCTCATTTTTCTGTATTTCAGGCAGACCAAATATTTATTAGCCTTCATTTTTCTTTCCACATTTTTAAAGTTCTACAAATTGTGCTCTAATACACTTCTAAAGACTCTCTCTTCTCTTTCTTTGAAGAGCAGTTAGGATAGGATACTCGATGGCTATGTGGTCAGTCTCAGAAATTATCATATTAACATGGAGCTGGCTATTAGTTTTACAAGCTAACCTCATAGTTTTGATGCCACAATTGGAATCTTGGTAAAATATTTGTATCAGTGAAATGGAAGCAGAGTTTGATTGCTATCAAGACCCTCACATGTTACTAGCCATGGACCTCTTCGGTTTTCTACATACTACCTACATTTGTTTTTACCTTAAGAAAGTTTGTGTCTTTGAGTTCTTCAAAGTCAGCACTAGCCATCATGTGGGATTCCTTCAGTCTTCAGCATGTTCTACCTGATGCTGTTAGTCACTTTCCTGCTGATGCCGTGTGTTTGTAGCTGGCTCCATGCCCAGTTACTTTTAGGTTTAGAAAGCATGCATTCATGTTTTTTAGCCACTTTTTAGTTTCTCACACAACATAGCTTACTTTTATAAAATCAAAATAAAGGTCTTGACACCTTGTGCTTGCTAAAAATCAGTTGTGCTTTCAAAAGATCTCTTCATGGCCAAGTAATCAATGCAGTCCTTAAGACATCTGCACTTGGGCTTCTTTATGTTTAGAAACAATGCTGGTGTCTTAGCACATGCTGCTTTGTCCTTGTCCCTTCTGTGGATGTTCACGGGAAGTGGATGGGTCAGGGTGGGGCCCTTCACTTCTAGGTTATTGATGCAGAGTGAAATGAAACCGCTAAGAATAATTGTTGCTATGGGATACTTCCTTCAGAACTATGTAAAACGTAATGGTCAGATCAGCGTTTCCCTCAGGATTCTGTGGAGCCACTGTTTTATGGAGTGTCCACAGAGCATGCTGGGCACATCAGCAGAGCCATGTTCTCACGGGAAGCCACCACCAAGTGTGGTCTACCTGGTAGAAGGAGTTAGAAGAACCTCCTGGCCTATGTTCTTCTCCCCCTTCGCCCTTCATAGAACCTTGAACCAGTTTCCTTTAAATCAAAAGTAGTGATTTACCTCTGCATTTTATTCACTCAGGTTCTATAAAAACATGAACAGATTTTACAATGTTGGCCTAACATTAAAAATTGAAAACATTTGGCACTAAAAGTCAAATCATTTTCCTTTTATGTTTTGCCAAGAAACTGAAAAATAATCCTTGGTATATATGTATTTTTTTTCCTACATAAGACCACCATTAGCCTTAATGATACAGCTCCTCATGTACCTAAAAGATCCTGTGCTTCACTGGACCGTGGAGAGGAATGTAAATAAAACATATGTCTAGTGCTCAAAATGCTCCACTATATCCATATTTGAATTGTATATTTATTTTAAAACGTATTTTTAAATAATTCAGGAGGTGTTTACAAAGAACAGAAAACAGATGGGAATATTAACAAAATCTAAGGCAACATAATTTTGTAAATCCCTATGAGCTGTCAGGTTGTACTGAAAGAAGTTTTGAAGATTGAATATTGATTTTTAAATCACTTTTTAAATTCTTTAATAAAAAGTTTTACAATTATATACCTACATACACATAAGTCTAAACATCCATGTTTTGGTTCAAATCAAGAAACAATCACTTTTATTCAGACTTATTCTCAGAAAGCAGTAATGTGATGATCAGTTATGTGTGTTTTTCTGATTGGAACATTTTCTGTGGCCTGCATATTTGAATTTTATTTCTAAACCACAGCCTGATGAATTATGGTAACTGGGTATGTGTTGCCCACGGATCCACCAAGGAAGTAGTGTTGCATTTTAGGGTGCTGTTGGGACAGAGGGTGAACTCTTTCAGTTTTGTTCTTGGGTTCAACCTGGTATGTGGAAGTCATTTTGGGGAGTGTGTTTAAATGAAGCCAAATTGGTAACTGAGGAGCCAGGACTCTTTATATAAGTACTTTGTGTGTTGGAACATACTGGGAAAATTTGCTTTCAAGAAAGAAAATGTCACTTCCCCACCCTCCCAGGGCACTCATGTAGGTGATCTTTAAAATATGTCCACCTTTAAATCTAGCAGAAGACTCTGACTGAGCTCAACTTCATGTAGACTGCCTTTTTCAAAGGCTGGTGTAAGCCTGTGGGGAGCCATGCCTGTGGAAAGGGCTTTGACAATGGATTTGAAAGCTGTGTGAATAAAAGATGAGCTGCTCTTCCCTTAAACTAGATGTCTCTCCTGTTCTCTTCTTTCTTGTCAAGTGTGAAGAAGGCCCGTGCTTCCTCATGTCCTTAGATTTAGGAGAGGTTACCTACCTAACCAACACACCCATTCTTCTTATCTCTGTGGTTCTTTTTTCCCATTTTTTATGGTTGGTTGATAGCATCATTTCAGTTTTTGTACATCACTGATTTTTTTATCAGGCTGCTCCGTGGACAACAGAGATGTGTTAAAATTTCCAGCTGTGATTGTGGCTGTGCCTTTCTGCCTAGATAGACTACATCCCAGAGGTTACAAAAAGGTGATACTCTAATTCTATTTTCCTTGTTTAGTTTATTAGCCAGAATATATCCACAAAGAGAAACTATCTTCAACTATTGGGTTACCTTCACATATAGTCTCCTAGATCTCTTGTTTTCCCCTTTCCCCTTTCCTTTAGGTACCACTGGGGAATATACCCAAGGCCTTATGGGTGCTTGGCAAGTATAGATCTCAGAACTGTATCCCAAGCCCTTGTTTTGCCTTTTAAAAACTGGTTTCCTCCCCACGAGTGCTTGAACTTGGCCTCCCACATGGTTAGATAAGCATTGGATCACTGAGCTGTATCCCCAGCCCAAGACCAGTTTGTAAAATAATTCTTAGCATCTTCCAAAGACACCTGTGAGTTTTTAAAAGAAATATTTCTGGATTTATAAGGATTTTTGCTTCTTAGGTTTAACCTCTTATCAAGAGAGTGTCTGGCAATGTGACTTTTCCATATTTCTTACTCCTGGCTCACCCTCTCCTGTTTCCACCTGAACTCTCCCTTTCTCCTCTCCTCCCCTCCCTTAGTTACTTCTCTTGCCACTAATTCTACTTTAGTTCGCCTCCTTCCCTCCCATGCCCCAGGGAGTCAGAACATGCCTCTGTCATCTGACCCAGTCTGGGGAAAGCCACATGTGACAGCATTTTGGTATTCTTGTTTTTTTTCCAACTAGGTAGTTGTTTTCAGTAAGGCAGGAATACAAAGAGGGGAAAGGTTAATGTTGATATTAATGAGGTGACCGCAATGACATCCAGCCCCTTCATGAACACACAGGCTTAACCAGCCAGAGTAAAGTGGTGGTGTTTGTATCTAGTAGTTCATTTGGCAGAAAAAGCTATTCAGAACCAAAATCTTTCCAAGTGTATCTTTATGATATATTATTAAATTAAAGGTTGTGCTTAGTTTGTTCTCTGTAGTTAATGTGTAAGAGCATTAAATTAGCCTCTGATTTTCCTCTTTCAGTAAAAGTTTAAGAAAATGGTGGATTTTTTTGTTTTGTTTTGTTTTTCCTTTATAAATGAGAAATTAAGAACCATGCCAGGTGACGGACTCTCCATGAAAACCCTGCAGCTGGAGTTTAATTTAGCAGTTCCCTCTGCTTTTCTACCAGGCTCCTGTTACCAGTGCAATTATGTCCTGGCCTTTTGCCTGAATTATTCTAAGTGGCTTCTCCAGAGTAGATGAGTCAGAAGAAACAGGTTGGATGTGCATGTCTGCCTCTGGCCACTTCTCCTGGTATTGTATAAATCCGTAAGGCTTCATTAATGCAAGTATTTTGACTTGTCTACATATTTTTTCCATTACTTGGATGACAAGGCTTGTTTGTGGGATGCTTTAAACTTAAAACCATGCGGCATGTATAAGATAGCAATGCTGGAGAATGGAGAGAGGCAATGGGCACCCCTCTCGGTAGCCCCCCACCTGACATTAGCCTGGGGTGGGGCTCTGGGCAGTAACTCATTGAGGGTCCTGAGAAGCAGCTGCATTCTGCCCGAGGCTGCTCAGCAGGCAGCATCAGGAGCAGAGAAACAGTGAGACTACCATGGTCTGGGAGGCCGTGGTCTGGGAGAGGACTTGCTAGCTTTGTCCCTAGGGATAATGCTGCTTTTGCTGGTCTAGAAATTGCAGAATGAATCTGGAATGCAGTTATATTTGAAAATCTGATGCATGATTTGATTTGAGATTACAGTGCTGATTGACCTGTAGCAGTGCAGGATATATCTTGTATCCCAGGCTCATCATGGCCTCAGTAAATCTAAGCTAGGCCAGTGTTAGGCTGTCCCCAAAGCAGTCACAGAGAGAGATGATGAACTTCTTTCTAGTATTCATCCATGCATCCATGTATCTTCAATCATGCAATAGCTATTCAACATTGATTATGCTAAGGGCAGTGACGCAAGTAAGAGCGTGCCCCAACACTCACAGCCGGAAGCTGCACTGTAACCGGTGCAGCAGGAAATAGCCCTCAGACTTGCTGTACTTGCATGCCCCATCTACATTTTTGCAAAACTATGACATTCTAATGTTGAGAACCTTGACATTAGGTAAATGATTCTCTACAGCATGTATCAGAATCACTGGTATGGCAAATAACATCGCGGCTGATTTCGTAGGTCAAGGGCAGCCCTGAGACTTTGCATTTCTAATAAGTCCTCAGTTTTTACTAATGT